ATTTTAAGAAATTTTAAAGTTTTTTTTTCAATTAAAATGTTATTTTAAAGAAACTTCAAGAGGTATCCCCTTACATTGTGGCACAGTGAGACAACATGAGCTGAGCAGCAAGCCTGCCAAGTTTCAGAACAACCAACCTACTCACTGATTTTAAAGATTTTGTTTTTCAGTTTAAGCATATGTGATTAACCTACACTGGGGCTTTTAACACGGGCAGCCCCGTTCTTTTGGCATGAATAGAATTTTGGGAAATGTAGTTTAGGGTGGTGCCTTTTAAATACTCTGCTACAGAGGTTCTTGCCTTCCCAAACTACATTTCCCAGAATTCTGCTGACACCAGAAAAATAGGGCTGCAATTTGGGGTTGAACATTTTCAATAGAGGGAGGTTATAGACCAGAAATATGAAGAGACAGAAATAAACAGAATTATCAAAATGCTAGTAAAAGTCTAAGTTTTAAGAAACACATAGAAACAAAATGAACCTCCAAACACACATATTTTCTCTCTCCTGCAAACACCATAAAGATGGAGATGCTGAGGGGAGGAGGAGACCAGCTTTGTAGAAAGCCATGTGATTGCCTTTCTTCTTCAGATTGGCTAACAAGGGGGGAAAAGAGTATGCAGCTTCCCTTGCCAATCACATCAGTCTCCGCCCCTTCCACCCCAAACAGTTATGGATGACAGAGTATGTTAATGTTTTACATTGGAAAAAAAAATCTCAGAAAAACAAATCTTTACCAATCTCTCTGAATGTTTAGGAGGCTGCTGTTTTGATTCATAATTTGGAGATCTGTATGAATCATATGAATCTCTGAATTATGAAACAAAAGTTTGAAGTTTTGCACAGCCCTATAGCCCTATATCTCAGTTTTACAGTGTTGCAAGGCACTTGTATTTTTTATGAAAATGTTTCAGTGGAGGAAAACATAAGACACCACATTTCATTTTCACAAAAGGAACAGAGGGCTTTTCACAACTTACCTTTCTCTCTGAGACCCTGAGGATTGGAATAGAATAGATATTTAACAAAGACAAATAGAAAGTAATAAGAAGAAAACAAACAATGTGTCTCAGACAGGGACAGGAAAAGGGAGAAGGAGAGTGAACAGCCACTTGAATGTTGTAATTACACACAATCATTGATCTGTATAAAAGCAAATGCAAAATAATTGCTGCAATTGAAATAGAAATATATGCTGACATATCAAGCGATGGTGACCTGGTGACCTGTGGGATTGCTCAATCTGCTGTTCACATGTAACATACTTTAGCCCTTATTCTCCTTTCTGATGGATTTACATCTTCCAACTAAATTTGGACTGAACTGCTCTTCAAACAGAAGGCTACTTTCTGAGATCCCTCTAAATAAAAGGCTGTCCTCTGTAAACAGAACATGTGACCATATTCTGCCCCAAATAATGGGTTGTAGTAGGAATAGTCTTCTTACCCTTCCCACAAAACAAAACATGGATTATGCACAACACTACCTTGGGATCCAAACTAGGACCTCTGAACCTGGTCTTTTCCCTTAACGCTAAGGCAGTGGTGGTGTCTTTATTAGAGCACCCTCGGAAAGTGGATGGATGCATTCTATATCCACTTATTCCCTCCTTTAAAATCCCATTGGCTTAAAAAATATGGATATAAGAAATAACCATTGTGGATTTGTTTGTAAGTGAACAACCAAGGCATTTAAAATGGGACTTTGGGGTGGAGGGTGTACAGGACTAAACCAGAACTACCAGCCATCTAATTTTTACTATGAAAGTTATTTCTAAGCTCAGTTTCTATGGAGCTACAAAAGCAGCTTTTAGTGAGCTAGTGCTGCTGCTGCAATTGAAAAATATGAGATAAGAGCACCCTTAGGGTAAAGCATCAAACTACTTCTCTCAAACAGAAAGTACCAGGGGATCTTTCTTGTTCATAATGAACAGACCAGACTCCAACTCTTGCCCTGTCCTGTGGAAGAGACCTATGCAATGAAGTGTATAACACTCAGCATTAGAGGCTGAACAGATCTTCCTGGAATTTGTGTCAGCGGAGCTGCCCTGATACAGCAGCCCAAGGTTCATGCTTCCAACTATCTCATCAGCAAAACAGAAGAGAAGAAGCAGGTCAAGTTAGCTCATGCTGGAAATCTTGACCTCCCTGGAGCCAATACAACTGGTTCAATTTGAAAGGATCAACGGAGCAAAAGAGGAAATATGAAAGAAGCCAATTACTGAGTGTCTTGGTAAGCAATGGCAGAGTCCCCTTTGCAGAGTCCTGATAGAATTCCCAAATCGCCCAGGCCAGGGCGAGTGCATTTCCATGTCATGCCCATTGTAATGGGAAATGACAGCTGATGAAAGCTTTTATTCGTGGCCTCCTGACACTGCTGTTCCATGTCGGCACATTTCAGGGTGAAGTGAGTCTAAACACAGAGACCAAAGAGCCTGGAGAATGTCTCCTTGTGTCACCAGAGGGAGCTGGGGAATGGCTGATACCATGCCCCTCATTTTATTTTAAAGTTTTTTTAACTGACTGTGCATCTAAATGGCTTGCAAAGGACAATGGGGGCCTTTATGGTTTCCCCCAGCTTTGGCAACTATTCTGTCAGGGTGGATGTGTGCAATTCAGTGATGTGGTGAGTTCCCCTTCTTGCCCTTGCTGCTTCAGTATCATGTTTGGGCTGTGCATAAGGTCAGAGACTGCAAATTAGTGAGCGGCTGAGCTCTTGAAGTGGCTAGCCTTTTCCACATGAGTGTAGGATTCTGTTTCCTTCCCTCAACACATTACCTAGCTGCCAGACTACGATGTATCGTTATTAAAGTGCAGAAAGGAATAGACACGAGCGATGAATGGTTGACTTCCCCTGCACCTCCCCTGACTGCTTCACAGATTGTTACTTTTGATGCCTATCCTAAGCACCTATTTTTATTATTATTATTCAGTGTTTGATTATTCAGCACCAACAACATGCTAAGTGCTGACAGAATATTCATCTCTGGGCTCTGTGGGTGTGTTCAAAGCTGCTTTTTCTTAGTTCCTACAAGGCTGATGTATATTTGCATTTTGAACTTGAGCTGTGTCCACCCATTCTTTTACAACTCTTCTACTTTCAGAATGTGAATAAATCATGTAATGTCTTCCTGCCCTCCTCTTCCTTTGTAATTAGCTGTAAGGTACATTTCTTAATTGTTTATTATCACAGAATCACAGAGTTGGAAGAAACCACAACGGCCATCCAGTCCAAATGCCTGTCATACAGGAAAAACTATATATCTTATCTGTAACACAAATCAAACTGAATCACATTGTAACTGGGGACAACACCACACAGTGCAACTCCTCATTCAAAAAGGGAATTACTTCCCCCTTTTGTAATATTAAAATGATTTAGCTAAGGGACCACTACCTTTTTTCTGAAAGATCATCTACTAGTGTCACTCCCTCACTACTGCCACTGCCCAGTAGCTGTTTGCCATATTTAGTGGCTCCTTAGCAAAAGCCTCCCTGGAGATCCAACCAGCATGGGAGACCCTACTTACATCACTACTGACAGCAGCATAGTCTCTTGCCTCACATGAGCATGCAATCTCACTGGAAGAAGTCCTGTAGTGTGCTTATATTTCAACTTGGTGATTTGGAAAGCACCACAAAGGGCATAGTAGAAATAAGGGAAAGTTCCTTGTGCTGATTAGATTTTCTAACTTTTTTTTAAGCCAACCTCATCAAAGATAGATTCTATAATCTTTCCCCAGAAAGCATCTGTAATGTGCTTACATCTTCTTTCTCATTTTAAGATCCAGGCTTAGGATCCAGAAGCCGTGGGCACCAGAATGCTGCATTTTTATGTCACAAGAGAGCTGCCAAGGGAAACAGATGGGGTTTATGACAGAGAATTGGAAAGAAATAAAAAGGTAGATGGGTAATTTGGGGATTATAGGCTCAGAGATTTTGTGAGGCAATTTGGAGTTCTCTCACATCTCCCCCCAGCCTTTAATAAGAAAGGAAGGAGAGTTGCTGCATTTCATGTAGAACCCTACAATACCAAAAAATGTTACCTACCCATGGCATTTTAAAAAATAAATTGCAACCCTGAAGGCATCCTAAACCTGAATGAATGAGTCAAGATTCACAATGATACTGCTCTTGTTGCTGAACAGAGGAATAGCAAAAGGCTGGCTGCTATAATATGAGCTGGAGACATGGGAATGGGTTTTGGATAGACAGGGAGTGTACATCCAGATGTTCTATGTAAGTCACACACAGAGTGATCCCCCATTCCCAGTTTCTTCACCAATCTCTTTAGCATAGTGGTTCCCAACTTTTTGTCCTCCATGTGTTTTGGACTTCAACTCCCAGAAATCCCAGCCAGTTTACCAGCTGTTAGAAGTTGTGAGAGCTGAAGTCCAAAACACCTGGAGACCAAAGTTTTTACTTCAAGACTTGCCACCTCATTCTTGCTGGAGATATGCCCAAGGCAGCTGGCAGAATATAGTTAGTCATAGGCAAAACCTGACTAAAGTTGGTGACCTTTGATACAATACCATTTTTGTTGTTGTGTGCTGTCAAGTTATTTCTGACCTGGTTTCTTGGTAGAATTTGGTTGGGGAGTGCTTGCCCTTACCTTCCTCTGAGGCCCAGAGAGTGTGACTTACTCAAGGTCACCCAAGGGATTTACATGGCTGAGCAGGGTAAGTCTCCCAGTGTTTCCCAATGTCTTGCTCCAACACTCAAACCACTACTCTATGCCGAATCTCCTCAAAATTAATTATTTTTAAGAAAAAAAAACTGTGGAACTGGCAAAATGTGGGTGGTTTTCATTATCAGGAGCCTATTTTCTGCTTTTCATACCAGTAATTTAATTTCCATTCTTTAAATGGGACTTTGATATTTCCAACTCATGTAAAATTCTGGAACATTTTATTAAAACTTGTATGCACATGAACCAGACCACATTTGCACCTTGCTGCTCCCCATCTCTGTGCATCAAAAATTTTGAAACAGCTCAGTATCTCAGTACCCGTAAACTTTATTAAAATGTGTGCTTTTCCAGCCTTAAGTTACATTAAAAAGTATTTCAGCTCTTACAGAAATAGCATCAAAGTGAAGAACTGAGAGGATTACAACACAAAGAAATAACATGAAACAGTATGTACAAAGAAAAGAAGACCCAATAATAATAATAATAATAATAATAATAATAATAATAATAATAATAATAATAATAGCATGGATATCTTTCCTGGCAGGCCTTACATGGTATATCTTATATGCTGAATAGAAAAGAAGAAGTAATAACTAGTTAAAATAGATAAACTTTAGACGGTATGCTCATGAATAGAAACTATAAAATCAACAAGGTATAAACTGATGTTCTATCCATTTATATTTATTAAGCCAGTTACACTAAAGGTAAGACATCCATTCATCAACTCCTTTGACAGCCTGGCTTTTAAATGTATTTAGGAACTAGTTTATGAGTTTATTTTTTATCTATTGTGGCAAGAAATAATGCTTTGGAATAATTTTCTCCTTTAGACTTTGAGTATAATTAGAATTTACAGTACACAGAAAACAGATTATGGTTAGTTCCTATGAAATAGCCCTTTACAGGGTCAGAGTAAATCCCACTCGCATCAAAGCTCTGTTTTAAGCCCCGCATAAAAGGAAATTATGCAGATCTAGAGATTGTGAATCAGTATGTTATTTGAATGAAACTGTTAGTCTGTTGCAATTATTCTAGGTATTGTTCATGCATACTGTGGTGTGTTGGGGGTTGTTCCCCTATGGAGATTTATTTCTGATCATTTGATGGCTTCATCTACTCTGCAAAACATAATGGAAATCTTCCATTTCAGAACATTTCATTGTCAAGTCATTTACAGGGACCAGAGTTTCAAGGTGCCCAAACCATTAACCAAAGCCCAACAAGTCATGATCATAGAATAACTAAACTAGACTTTTCTTAGCTCGTTGTGAACTGGATCCTTCCTTGACTTTAAAAAGATATATAGATTCATTCATTATTAGAAAGAAGCTTTAAATCTCCATTAAGAATCCCTATGTTTCAAATTCTTTTTGCTGTGTTATCCTGTACAAATAAGAAAGAAATCAACATATGCCTTCCCAATGTGCTTGGTTCATACCAATTTTATACTGCTTGGATATTTTTGAAGAAATTGTTTTAAAACAATGTATGGTCAAACTGAACATGAAGAGGCCATTATTTCAGTGGCCACCCTGTTCGTGGATGTACTGGGTCATATTGTAATATTTAAAAGTGCATAAAATACAAGAGGAAGAGTGCACGGAATACAGTGGGTTGCTCCATCTGACACTGTGGCAAGGGAGCAGTGGGTGAAGTCCTGGATGCAAAGAGGATTTGTTGCTCCTGTCTGAAGTTATCCCTTACAATAAGACTCTTTCACCTTATATTATGAGTAAACAGCACAGAGACACGGGAAACAAAGAGTCAACTGAAGTGAATGTGCAATAAAGATCAAAGTGCAGGCTCCATTTGTGGACTTGGAAGCAGTGTAACAAAGGTTAGCGGAAATGAAAAGGTTATTGTTGTGAGTCCACTGTGGCAATTGATCTACAAATTGTTCTGCCACCAAATCACTGTATGACATTGGACACATGGTGGTCAGGCGAATGGCCAAACATAACATTATGCCTGTGATGCAGATAACATTTTTCATGTCTTACAAGACTGCAGAAACTGATAAAGATCCAATTGACTGGGATTGAGCTGTCCCTTTCTAGCAGAGGAATGACTGAAAATCAATTGGCTTGAATTGCCACTCATATCAGTTCCTGCAAGCAGATTAGAAGGAAACATAGGCCAAAATCCAGTTTCAGGGGAGTGGAAATCAATGCCAACATAATTCCACGGGGTTCATATTATCACTGGCTGTGCAAACCTTGTTGAATACTCCAGGATACATTCCCATGGTCAATCCATGATTAGGAGGATGAAACTCTCAAGGCACTACCCAGCTGCAGCTGAATAGCTGCATAACAGCAACGAGATAATGTCCAGGACTCTCCCAGCCCTTGACCAAATATTGTATGTAGGTATGTATCCTGGTACCTTCTAGCTTGGTGGTCCCCAGCCTTTTTTTGACCAGGGACCAATTTGACGAGGGACCACTTTACAATATTAATACCAGAAGGGTTACAAATCAGTTTTAGGTCAACCTTAGATTTGGTTTGGTTATTTGGGGTGCTGATTCAGAAAATTGTATTGGATAGACCACATCAGCTCTAGTTTCTAATTCAGAATATATGCCACCCAGTAGTTGCCATCTGCTTACCCACAGAAAACCATATTTAATAAGCCTCATCACTATAAGAGGGTTTCACAAGAACAGTTGTTCTCGTTGCAATGGTGTAGTAATGGTGAAGCAGTGGATCATATTTTAGTTCTTGTAGACCACTGGTGGTTCACGGACCACATGTTGGGAACCACTGTTCCAGCTGGAATTGCACATTAGTGTATATGTGTCACTACAGAAGGAGGCACTGGGTAACTTGTTCTACAACATAAATTGGATGTAATAAAAAGTTATCATACCTTATAAGACCAACATGATTCTGGAGAATATACATGCAAATTTTTGAAAACTTTCTAAAGTTTATTTTTTAATTTATGAAACAACCTACTGCTTTAAATTGGGGAATTTTTTTACTTTAAATTTTTATTTAATGAGTAGAATTTAGCACCTGTGTAATCTGCAGCATGGTATTTACTTCAGTTAGGATGTAAATCTTTGTGTATTTTTTCTTACCCATAAAAAGCATGAATTTTTTTTCTCCTAGACAGACAAGACTACAAAAAGGGATTCTTTTCTTGTGGATTTCTCTTCTTTATTTTATGACATTTTCTGAAAATTTTACAAAAAAACTCAATTTATGCATGGATTTTTGTGCAAAAAGCTACCTGAAATATTCCCTTGCCAAGTGTTGTGACTGTGGTAGAGCTCTATCATAATAATTAAACCTGATGATGTCACACACACCAATCCTATTGATTCAACTTGAAGCTCTACGGGATTTTGGGAAATAGCATTTGCAGCGCTTGGCCAGTTTGGGTTACTTTCAGAAAACACAGCTGGAGACTCTACTCAGGGCCCTGCCACAACTACTTGCTCCTGCAGCTAAGGCTGGATCAACACAGCCCTATATCCTGGGACCTGATCCCAGATTATCTGCTTTGAACTGGATTATGTGAGTCTCCACTGCCATTTAATCTGGGATAAACATAATCTGGTATCAGTTCCTGGGATGCAGGGCAGTGTAGAAGTGGCTTAAGAGAATTCTGAAGACATCATTTCACAGTGCCTGGATCTGCAGTTTTTCAGAAACACTTTGACTGTGATGTTGCCAGCCTGGAAAGGTACAATTGGGGAGTTGTTAACCACAGTAAGCCTGAATTCTCTTGCAGTAAGATCATACATCCAAGATACAATGTTGTAATTCATGGGCAGGATTGCAGCCATCATTTTTTTTTGCACAAAAAACATGTGTTTGTGTAAATGAAACATTTGAAAAAGGTTCCTGGAACATGACAATTCATACAGTACTTTTTTGATGATAAAATCTAAAAGCATTCTTTCTATGCCTTGGGGGCATCTACACTGTAGAATTAATGCAGTCTGACACCACTTTAACTGCTATGGACCAATGTTATGGAATCATGGGAGAGGGGTACTTTGGTGAGCCACTGCTCTCTTTGGCAGAGAAGGTTAAAGACTTGGTAAAACTGCAACTTCAGCAATTAAATAGGATATCACACTGTATTTGGACAAAATCAAGCTCCTGGAGGGACCTCTGATAGGAGAGTTGGCATGAGCCTGCAGCAAGCCAGCTTTGTCATATGTTCCATTCTCGAGTGACCTATAGCTACTTTCCTCTCTCTTTGTTGAGGTGATTTTAACATGTTTACCCAGATGTTTTATGGCACAAACTTCTGCCAGAAAGGGCTTAAGACTAGAGACAGAGCATTCTGAAGAGACAGAAGGCTGAGCGTATTGGTTAAAGATGACCTCGTGACCTTTCAAACTCGAGTGGGGGAGATGACAAGGAAAATGACTTCCTCTCCTTCTTACTTTTCCTTACTGTTGACTCTTCAGCTCAACTCAGCTGTCACTGGGCTCTGGACAGAAAATCTGAGCTAATATAAAGCTTTATGGAAGCAACAGGTGGATCAGACAAGGGTTGAGGAAGAAGGCTTTGAAAAGCCTTTCAAACTATAATGAAGATACTTTATCTTAATTAGCCTGGATATTGGATCTTCCTTGAGAAAACATATAGGTTTGGAGTCATATGTTTGGACAAGGCCTCACACCACTCTTCAGTTAATGCCTCATGGCGCAACCCCAAGGGTGTACTTCAGCTTAGTAGTACAAACAAAGAAGCAGCATTTAACCTTAGACAATATAACTCTGCAGTGGAGCTTTCTGTTCATGCTGGCTTGAGCATTCTGGGAGTCATAGGGGAAATCCGCATTTACCACTTAAAGGGTATTGAAGGTATCTCCCCCAAAAATGCAGTGTTCAAATGACACAGGGCATGAAAAACACATAAACATGCTTTAGAGGCCTTAAACCAGGGATACTCCAAAATAGGCCCTGTAATTTGCATTAGCATCCATCAATGGAAACCACATCATATGGCAAAAATGATCAAAGAAGAGATGATCCAGCAATCTGCACATACACTATAGTGGGAAGCTGAAAAGCAAAATCCTAAATCCTCCATGGCCATGAAGCTGTGGATACTGTGGATGCTACAGCAGAGTTGGACCTGAATTTTCCAATGCATAGAAGCACTGCCCAGGCCTAAACTCAGGCTCTAAGCTTTATGTTCGATTGGCTGCACATTTGCTTCTGCTGCGTTCGTCTCACATTACATGGTCAGCCTAGATGTGTCCATAGTCTTAAAAAGCATTCCCCTAACTTTGCTCTAACTTTACTTCCATTTCTGATTGTGTTGGGTGCAACCTGGACACATAATACAAGATTCTACAATGGCCTTCTTAAAATAGGTAGAGATCGGATAAGTTAGATCTCAACATTGAGCTCCCTAATTTCAGCCTACCAGTTAAGTATTTATTTAATTTATATCATGAAACTCAGTCAAAAATATTCTCAGATTTGATTAATGTGGCTAACAATAGGACCAACGCTGTGCCATGTTTAAAAATCTGAGTGCTGACATTGGGACTAAGTGATGAATGATTCCAAACAACTTTTTTCAAAAAAGAAAGAATGAAATGAATGAATGAATGAATGAATGAATGAATAAGAAAAAAAAAAGAAAATATGTCACATAGAAAACTGGAAATATATTTGTCTAGGCCACATACTGGTGTCATCAGCCAGACCTCAAATGAGAGTCTTCTGGATTGTATATTGTAAATTTTGAACAATTCAAACAAGAAAAATAGACAATCGTGGTATTTGCTTCCAAATGAAGATAGTAATTGGGGCCACCAGACATTAGCACAAATATTCATTTCCCCTCTCTGTTAATATGTACAAAAATATATTCTTTTCCTTTTTATTTGTTTAAATTATATTTTCCAGCCTCAATCCCAGCCAAAGTCATGTCCCGTCATCTGATAGAATTTCATGTTGAAGGGCCTATAGAATTCCCTCAGTCGCTGGACCACTTTCTGGTCAATGCTGGGATGGGTCCGCCCTTTCGTTTTGCCCAGGCAGTGGGGCTTGCTGCTGCCTTCAGCCTTTTTTAGGCAGGGAAAACCCTTGGTCTTGTTGAAGTAGAAGTGTTTGTCCGTTATGATCCTCTTGAGACCGAGGAAGTCTTGGACACGACCCAGCTCACCAGCCGGGTCACTGATCAGCCTCTCCCCACTGACAAAAAGGATTTGTCCAATGGGGAAATACAGGAGCCAATTTTCCAGATGCTTGGCATAAATGCCAATTTGGATGGCACTCCAGGAGGTATCGATAAGACTTGTAGTCCTGTTTTTGAAGGTCAGGCTCTCAAAGGTGGGGATGTCAGGCTTCTTGGAGAGTGTTTGTGTGTAGTCAGAAATGACTCTGGTAACAGGATCTCTCACCACTACAATGAGCTTGGTGTCCTTTGACATGGCAGAGATGCGAGCAGGTGCTTCCTTTGTGACAAAGTAGCTGGGTGTTTTCTCCATGGTGATCTGCCCATCAAGAGTTCTTGGCATTAGTTCCCTAAAATAAAAAAGAGAAGTGGGATAAATTATTCCTGCAGTATTGTAACAGAAAGTTTGGTTGAACTCATTGGTTTAGCTATCAGGATTTTAGCATTTTGGACAACAGAAAGTATTTCAGTTACTATAGATTTATTTATTTTGTGTCAAAAACATTGCATAAATAAACAAGTATAAAACTGAAAAAATAGAGGGGCCACAAGTGGCTAAATAATTTTAGACCAAAAACGGGCAACAATGACAATATTGATTGTGCATGAGGCAGGCCATTTGGGCTGTTTGTTCTGCTCCACAGTCTTGCAAGGTGGACAATTCTTCTAGGTAGTGCCATTTAGCCAGGTTGTCTTTTGATCTCCCAACACCACTTCTGAGGGCCATTCCAGACAGGCCCTATATACCAGGATCTGATTCCAGGTTTTCTGCTTATCCCAGATTATGTGGCAATGGGGGCTCATATAATCCAGTTTAAAGCAGAAAACCTGGGATCAGATCCTGGGATATAGGGCCTATCTGGAAAGGCTCTGAGTCTGTTCATGGACTTCCAAGTTGCCCATTCTTGGTTACTATAGATAAGGGACATATCTATAGTAACTGTTTTTAACTTAATGTTTTAAAATGTTTTAACATAATGTTTTATTTATTGTTTTAAATTTTTGTCATATTTGTTGTTTATTGGTGGCATTGAATTGTTGCCAGTATGTAAGCCACCCTGAGTCCCCCTTTGGGAGTAGAGAAGGACAGGACAGAAATATTGGAAATAAAAAAAGTGATCTTTGGTATAATGAAGAATTTGGGAGAAAAAGAGAACCAATTTATTCAGCTGTAGGAGCATTACAGCCACTTATTTCTCCTCGTAATTCTTTTAGTCTAGTGGTTCTCAACCTGATGCTTTGACTTTCAACTCCCAGAAATCCTAACAGCTGGTAAACTGGCTGGAAGTTGTAGACAAAAATACCTGGGGGCCCACAGATTGAGAACCACTGGTCTAGAGGCTCTTATCTATATTTTTAAGTTTACCTTGGATAGCCATTTATACCTTGGATAGCCATTTATATCATCACATATGTGGAGTGGATAGCTGATATCCTAAAACCCTGATGTTGTGGTGGAAAGGCCAAGGGGCTATCTAGCAGTAATGCAGGCTGCAGCACTCTTGGAGGCCAAGAACCACCTGTAATTGGTTGGAGTAAGTGTGTATATCTGTGCATGATCTTGAAAACAGAGTTCCTTCTCAGGTGTGTTCTTGGGTATAAATAAGAGGTCTCCACGCATGCTTTTTCACAACAGTTATTCAAGATAACTAAGGAAATCCTTATATCCAATATTACATAATTCTGAATACCAGATGGCTACTATGATCAAGCAGGAGGGCTATGACTTTTGTGTCCCACTTGTGGACTTCTTGGAAGCATCTGACTGACCACTGTTAGAAACCATGACCAGAATTAGCAGGCCTACTCTACCCTACATCTCAGCAAAGAAATCTTGCATTTCTTATTTTTTTTTTACATTATACAGTATTAGAAACTGCAAGGTCAGAGACAGAAAACACAATACTGCAATGCATGAGGCGCCTCCAGGATAAACAAACACTTTTTTGTTACTGCACAGTATGGAGCCTTGTCTTTTTACATCTTTCCCTCAGAGAATTTTCTGAATTCTGTTGACTAACTCTAATGAGAAAGATGTTCCCTTTTGGTTGTGTTTGAAGAAAGTATATTTCAGGCCACCATAATTGCTAGAGGTTGTAAAGCAGTAGAATGTCTCTCCTTAACAGACGTGATTTGTTCATACAGTTTAAAATATCCAATCTGCCTACCCACACATTTCTTACCAAACAACAGACTACTTCAAACCACATTCCCAGTATGTCCAAGTTGTGTCTATAATGAGAGTATATCTAAGGGGAGTTGCTTCCCCGACCCTGCTGCCATTAAAACTTCAAGCTGTCAATGCTAAAATCATTCCTAGAGCCACTTACTTCTCTGCATTGGTGAGGGATTGGAGAATTTTTTAGAGTTTTAAAACAGTTCAAGGAAGATTAGGAAAGGGAGACGGAACAACTGTCGTTTTAATAAAATATGAATAATTAGGTAGATATCTGCCATAAAAGAAAGTAAGATGTTGTGAAGATTGGAAAAAAGGGCAGTTACAAGAGAGAACATATTTTGAGTAAAATAACCTTAGTGGCCAGACCAAGCGTGATCCCTGGGGAAGGCAATGGCAAACCACTCCAGTATCCTTGCCAAGAAAACTAAATGGACCAGTACAACCAGAAAGATGTCGATATGCCATTGGAAGATGGGACTCCCAGGTCAGAAGAGGGCCAAAATGCTACTGGGGGGGAGGGAGCAGAGGATAAGTTCAACTAGCCCGAGATGTGATGACGCAGCTAGCTCAAAGCCGAAAGGAAGGCTAGCGGCCGACGGTACTGGAGGTGAACGACGAATCCGCTGCTCTAAAGATCAACACACCATAGGAACCTGGAATGTAAGATCTATGAGCCAGGGCAAATTGGATGTTGTTATTGGTGAGATGTCAAGACTAAAGATAGACATTCTGGGGGTCAGCGAACTGAAATGGACTGGAATGGGCCACTTCACATCAGATGACCACCAGATCTACTACTGCGGACAAGAGGAACATCGAAGATATGGAGTAGCCTTCATAATTAATAAGAAATTCGCTAAAGCGGTGCTTGGATACAACCCAAAAAATGACAGAATGATCTCAATTCGAGTGCAAGGAAAGCCTTTCAACATTACAGTGATCCAAATATACGCCCCAACCACAGCTGCTGAGGAAGCAGAAGTAGATCAGTTCTATGAGGATCTGCAGGACCTCCTGGATAATACACCAAAAAGAGACATTATTTTCATTACAGGAGACTGGAATGCCAAGGTGGGAAGTCAAATGACAACTGGGATCACAGGCAAGCATGGTCTGGGAGAACAAAATGAAGCGGGACGCAGGCTGATAGAATTTTGCCAGGAAAACTCGCTGTGTATAAAGACTCTCTTCCAACAACCTAAAAGACGGCATTATACATGGACCTCACCAGACGGTCAACACCGAAATCAGATTGACTACATCCTTTGAAGCCAAAGGTGGCGGACATCCATCCAGTCAGTGAAAACAAGACCTGGGGCTGACTGTAGCTCAGATCACGAACTTCTTATTGCTCAATTTAGAATAAAACTAAAGAGATCAGGGAAAATACACAGACCAGTTAGATATGATCTCAATAACATTCCTAGCGAATATACAGTGGAAGTGAAGAACAGATTTGAAGGACTAGATTTAGTAAACAGAGTCCCAGAAGAACTATGGACAGAAGTCCGCGACATTGTTCAGGAGGCGGCAACAAAGTACGTCCCAAAGAAAAAGAAAAACAAGAAGGCAAAATGGTTGTCTGCTGAGACACTGGAAGTAGCCCAAGAAAGGAGGAAAGCAAAAGGAAACAGGAATAAGGGGAGATATGCCCAGTTAAATGCGCAATTCCAGAGGTTAGCCAGAAGAGATAAGGAACTATTTTTAAATAAGCAATGCATGGAAGTGGAAGAAGACAACAGAATAGGAAGGACAAGAGACCTCTTCCAGAAAATTAGAAACATTGGAGGTAAATTTCAGGCAAAAATTGGTATGATAAGAAACAAAGATGGCAGGGACCTAACAGAAGCTGAAGAGATCAAGAGAAGGTGGCGAGACTATACAAAAGATCTGTATAGGAAGGATAATAATATTGAGGATAGTTTTGACGGTGTGGTGAATGAATTAGAACCAGACATCCTGAGGAGTGAGGTTGAATGGGCCTTAAGAAGCATTGCTAACAACAAGGCAGCAGGAGACGACGGGATCCCAGCTGAAATGTTTAAAATCTTAAAAGATGATGCTGTCAAGGTGATGCATGCCATTTGCCAGCAAATATGGAAAACACAAGAATGGGCATCAGACTGGAAAAAATCAACTTATATCCCCATACCAAAAAAGGGAAATGCGAAAGACTGCTCAAACTTCCGTACAGTGGCCCTTATTTCTCATGCCAGTAAGGTAATGCTCAAGATCCTGCAAGGAAGACTCCAGCAATACATGGAAGGAGAGTTGCCAGATGTTCAAGCTGGGTTTAGAAAAGGCAGAGGAACGAGAGACCAGATTGCCAATATCCGCTGGATAATGGAGAAAGGCAGGGAGTTTCAGAAAAACATCTACTTCTGCTTCATTGACTATTCTAAAGCCTTTGACTGTGTGGATCATAATAAATTGTGGCAAGTTCTTAGTGGGATGGGCATCCCAAGCCACCTTGTCTCTCTCCTGAGGAATCTGAACAAGGACCAAGTAGCAACAGTCAGAACTGACCATGGAACAACAGACTGGTTCAAGATTGGGAAAGGCGTATGGCAAGGCTGCATCCTCTCACCCAACCTTTTTAACTTGTATGCAGAACACATCATGCGATGTGCGGGGCTTGATGAATGCAAGGCTGGGGTGAAAATTGCTGGAAGAAACATTAACAACCTCAGATATGCAGATGACACCACCCTGATGGCCAAAGCGAGGAGGAGCTGAGGAGCCTTCTAATCAAGGTGAAAGAAGAAAGCGCAAAAGCCGGGTTGCAGCTAAATGTCAAAAAAACCAAGATTATGGCAACAAGAATGATTGACAACTGGAAAATAGAAGGAGAAACCGTGGAGGCCGTGACAGACTTCGTATTTCTAGGGGCAAAGATTACTGCAGATGCAGACTGTAGCCAGGAAATCAGAAGACGCTTACTTCTTGGGAGGAGAGCAATGTCCAGTCTCGATAAAATAGTGAAGAGTAGAGACATCAGACTGACAACAAAGATCCGCCTAGTCAAAGCCATGGTATTCCCTGTAGTCACCTACGGATGTGAGAGCTGGACCTTAGGGAAGGCCGAGCGAAGGAAGATCGATGCTTTTGAACTGTGGTGTTGGAGGAAAGTGCTGAGAGTGCCTTGGACTGCGAGAAGATCCAACCAGTCCA